CCATCTTCACATCATCAGACGAGAGAAGAGCTGTGTTTGTGAGGGAAAGGGAGAGTTATTTATTTATTTTTAATTTAAATTTTAATGAGGATTAATAAATAAGGAGTGGGTGGATTTTTATCATTGTAGGGTGGTTGTGCTCACACTCTGCCAACACATATTTATGCCCAAACACCAAGTAAAAGTGGATTTTGCATAATAGGTGCCCTTTCATTAGACATTTTACATTTTATGAAATACTAACATTAAATTGAAAGCAGTTGTGAACAGTTCAGTTGTCACAAAAAGAAGAAAAAAAAGCGACATCCCAGTAATTAGATTAGATTAGATTCAACTTTGCCATTGTGCAGAGTAAGCACAGAGCCAATGACATTCAGTTAGCATCTAACCAGAAGTGCAAATGGCACTATATTTATGAAAAATATATAAATATGCATATATATGTTTATATATATATCTATATATATATCATTTTTTATGGAGTGCAACATTGCAGTGTTTTGGGACTGGTACAATGGTGACTGTTTTGAAGTAGGTGGGGACCAAGTAGAGCTTGAAACTCCATTTCAGAAATAAACAACATCTGACTCTGAAACACTGTGAAAGGGGTGCATTTACAAACTATATTAATAAAAAAAATTTTTTATAAATACATTGCCTGCATATAATTTATTTAGCATAACTTCATCAGGTCTCACCTCAGTGTCTTGAGTTGAGAGTTTGGATCCTGTAGTAAATCACTGAGCTGCTTCACTCCTGATGGTCCAGGATCATTTCCTGTGAGATCCAGCTCTATCAGGTGTGAAGGGTTTGATCTCAGAGCTGAAGACAGAGCTTTATAACCTTCTTCAGTGATACTGCAGTCTGAAAGTCTATTAAACAAAGATGTTATTCTTCCTTATAACACAGATTGTCACACAAGTACATGTTCTAGACTAAAGGAAATAAAAAGATGCACTACAGGAATTTTGGCCTGAATGGTCTCTTTTCACAGTATAGCTGGGTAAAGTTATATATTGGTGAACGTAAACTACAACAAATGCAATTTTTGCATTTTCATTTTCCACAATTATAACCTACAGTTACAATCAAAATTACTCAACCCCTCAGAGACTGCAGAACTTTACAAATACAAGCTTTTCTGAAGATCCAGGATAAAATAACAATTGCATCTATAACAGTTCACTAGAATATTAAAAGTGATATTGTTAATATATAATGCAATATTTTTGAGTTATAAGATTTTTTAATAATACAGCTGTCATAACGATTCAACATTGCTGTTTTTAAGTCACTTATTTGCATGGTGGGGAATAAAATAGTCTCAACACAATTAAGCCTTTAGAAACTCTATTAAAAACAGAATTAGCTTGAGCTGTTACACATACATACAGTTAGTCCATGCATGTGCTGAAGTTGAGCAGCAAAAATGGCAAAGTCAACAGAGATCTCACAAAAGCTATAGAGAAGCTATGGAGAATAAATAATTTTATTACTTTAGAAAGTCTAAGGCAATATGAAGATTTCCAAGACATTAAAAGCTCTCAGCCTTATTCCTCAGCTTAAAGCGTGTTGTACCAGAAAACCTTTGAGGGTGTTGAAGAAAAAGCACAATATCATAAAATGTTTAATCAGAGCAACAGAAAAAAACCTGCAATGTACAGCCAAAGACTTGCAAGATGACCCGACGAAAGGAGAAAAACCATTTCAATGCAGTGTGTAAGAAGAACACTAGACAAGTATGGCCTTCATGTTGAAGCATCTTGAAGAATACCACTCTTGATCAAGAAGAACAAAAGGCCTAATTGAACTTGCTAAAATTCATTTGTGTAGACCTGTGGAGTTCTGGAAGAATGTTTTATGGAGTGATGTGACCAAACTGGAACTTTTTGGACCCATGGATCAGCGGCATGTCTGCTGCAAAAAAGGCAAAGCTCATAAGCAGAAGAACACCATCTCCATCGTCAAACTTGGAGGTGGATCAGTGCTGTTATGGGGTTGCTTTACTGTAGCGGGAAGTGGAAATCATGACCGTATGAAGGACATCATGGATTCTTTGAAGTATCAGGCCATTTTGACAAGAATTGTGATGTCTTTGGTGCAAAGACTGAAGCTGATGATCAAAGGACTTTCCTGCAGGACAGTCATCCCAAAGAACACATCCAAATCTACTTCTGCTTGGTTCAGAGTTCAGTCATAGAATGTTCTCGAGTGGCCTGTTCAGTCTCCAGATTTAATTCTCATTGAAAATATCTGGTTGAATTTAAAGAAAGCAGCGGCAATGTGAAAACCAAAGATTATCAATGATCTGGAAGCTTTTTCAGGCGAGGAATGGGCCAAGACTGTAGTAGAGAGGTGACGGAAGCTTCTAAGCACTTACAGGCAGCGTTTATTGGTGATTTTAAAGAATAAAAGATTCTGTGCAAAATTTGACTTTTTTATAATTATTATAATAATTTTGAACATGAATGTTTTGAGCCAATTTGAATTTCATCATGATTCATCAATGTTCCATTCTCAGAATCACTCAAAAGTGTATTAAACTTTCTCTAATACTTTACTGATGCCTTTATTTAATTGTTTTCATAAAATGTTGTTCTCCGCAGCAAAATGCCTTGAAGGTCATAATAATTTTGATTGCAACTACTATAACATTCTTCAGTGATACTGCAGTCTGAAAGTCTACAGAAAGACTAAATTAAATAAATAAATACATGCATGTATTACACCATTAGGATATTAACATTTCCAATCACCTCAAAAAAATCAATATGTTTGTCAATATTTTATAAATGTATCTACACCAACACACCAATTTCACATTACTGACCCATTCCTTGTGACACAGCATCAGTTTACAGACCAGCTGGAGCTTTACATTGATTCATGTTTAGATTAACCAAATTCAGACCTGAGTATCTGCAGTGTCTGTGAATTTCTCAGCAGACTGGAGATTTCTGTCACTCCAGAGTCTGCTATTTGATTCCTGCTCAGATCCAGCTCTGTCAGATTTGAAGGGTTTGAATTTAGAGCTGCAGCCAGAACATGACAAGCTCCTTCTGTGATGCAGTTGTTCTTCAGACTGCATAAAGAGAAAACACTTCAGTTTTAATCTGAATATTTACCAGTATGTTTCAGCTGACAGTTGACAAATACTGGTGATGATGATGATGATGATGATGATAACCACATTACAAAAGTCACATATGGTTTTTCAGTCAGCAATCTCTTATATAAGACACATAAAAACACCCAGCAGCAAGAATTTAAAAGTGTCCTTGTAACAATGAAAAAACGTACATCAGTGTGTTGAGTGTACAGTGTTTATCCTGCAGTAGAGCAGCGATCTGATTCACTCGTGTGTCTCCTAGTTCACGTCCACTCAGATTCAGCTCTCTCAGGAGTAACGGGTTTTTACCCACAATTCCAGTCACATACTGACAGCCTTCATCTGCAGCAGGACCCACAAACCTGCAGAAGAGAAGATGAAGTAAACTTCATTTCAGAAATAAACAACATCTGACTCTGAAACACTGTGAAAGGGATGCATTTACAAACTATATTAATGAAATATTTATTATAAATACATTGCCTGCATATCATTTATTTGGCATTACTTCATCAGGTCTCACCTCAGTGTCTTGAGTTGAGAGTTTGGATCCTGTAGTAAATCACTGAGCTGCTTCACTCCTGATGCTCCAGGATCATTTCCTGTGAGATCCAGCTCTATCAGGTGTGAAGGGTTTCATCTCAGAGCTGAAGACAGAGCTTTATAACCTTCTTCAGTGATACTGCAGTCTGAAAGTCTATTTAAGAAAGGTTTATTATATTCAAAGTTACATAATTAATATTACTACAAAAAGGTTTAATATATTTCTTCTTCTGATCAGAGAAAAAAGAAAAAAACATTTCACCATCTGACAGAATCGGGGTATCTTCCGTCCAATCAATTTTTGTTTTAATATTGAAATCTGAAAAATGAAAAACGGGCACATATTTCGTTTTTCAATTATTCAAACAAAACGAAAAATCAAGAATCCGGCTTAATTTTTCGTTTTTACATTCAGGGATAGAAAACGAATAAACAACTTGAATATTCGATCTCTACATGTGGGCGGGAATGAAACGCCCCTCTCTGCTAATTGGTCAACCAAACATTACAACATAATAATAGTCCTAAAAAAAAGAGCCGTAGATCACTGACAATCTACGCAATATCACATTCATAATCGCAGATGAATCGCATTTGATTATGAACGCGATATTGTGTAGCGTGTCAGTGTAAGTGTTTTTATTAATGACATTAATGTTTTTGTTAATTCAGCATATAGCACTAGCTAACTAAATGAATGTAACATGGCAAAGATTAATGCACTTTTGGAAATTGAATAAGGTAAATTTCATTTTGGAATTTCTGTGGTCTAATGTGATGTTGATCATGTTCATGTTGTTCATGTAAATTTTTATTTTAATGTTGTAATTAATTTATAGCATTAACAAGATGACCCGTTGAATTCATTTTGGGAGTGATGACTGATAAATGTATTTTTAGTCCAGTGCCTGTAGCCTATGTAGCGTCTGGACCACTCAAACACACAATATATATATTGTTAGCTAGATTTAACAAATACTCTGTAACACCCCAGGAAGCCAAACAGGCCCCTGGTTCCATGGTAATCCTGACACCCGATACAGTTACGACCTCCTGGAATTTAGGTGAAGAAAATCGCTTCCTTGCCCATAAGGAAAATCCACAAGGGAAGGACTTTTCTTTGCTAATTAATTAATAGGAAAACCTTTGTTTGAATGAACACACATGATCCTTCAGGTCATTGGGTATATTATTGTCATTGTGTATTTTGTCTTTGAAATTGTATACTGTTATGCAGGCTTATAATCGAAACACACTCCTGTCAGCTTACATATATATATATAACTTTACCATGTTTAGTACCTATGAATTCGTATTCGGATGATCTAATTGAGAGTATATATTGTATGTTTACACCTACGCAACATATTAGTGTTCTAAGAGTCTTTAATAATTTGTATTCGAGTTTAATTTGCAAATTACTCATGCTTTCAAACAAAAGGCCATAAAAATGCCCCAGTATCTCAGAAATCCCACTTGAGATTCCGGACTTCCTCAT